TCTTTTTGTACACCTGTTGCTGTAACGTTGCATTATTTGGATCAGTGGCCAGTTGTTTTTCTAGTCTCATTAAATCTTCTTCTAAAACTTTGCTAGTCATGCGTCTTTCATTAGCTTTTTGTTTGCCGTAGTCAATCGAAAAACATCTTAACTTTATTTTTACAATAATCCCACATCATTTGTTTGTTCTCGATCGACGAGGCATTTAGGCCATCTTCGATATTCTTAATAATCTGATTAACACTGTCTACATAAGCTTTATCATACAATAGTTATTAAATTTCCAGTATGATGAACCCTTATCCTGTTGGGTCACACACATGTCCATCATGACTGCTCTGTGGTCACTACATGGAAAGGACCAAATCTCACAGCTGGTACTTTTATCAAATAACAAATCATTAACAAAGATATAGTCCAGTCTTCTAGCAATGAATGGATTCTTTTTGGACCAGGTGTACTCTCTTTCAACACCATGAAATGTTCTCCATATATCAACAAGGTCATGTTCATTCAAAATATTATTCAAAATTGTCATTTCTGTGCTGTCGTGGTCCCTTCCCGCTATATTATCGAGAGAGTTGTTAAGGGTCGTATTAAAATCTCCAGCAACCAGTACATGTTCAAAATCAGTACAATATTTTTGTATCATGTTCGATACTTGGGAGAGAAACAGCTTTTTACATGTCACAGCATTTGTGGCATAAATGTTGAAACAAATTTTTCATTTTGAGACGTAAATCGTACACCGATAATACGGTCAGAAATATCAATGAACTCAATGTTTTTACAGTCAAAATGTTTAGATATAAGAATAACTTGCCCCTTACTGTGACGTGTGCTGGGATGGGCAAAAAGTTTATCACCCCACTCTTTCGTCCACAATTCAAAATCATCACTTGTTATATAGGTTTCTTGCATTAGTACAATGTCAATCTTTTTGACTTAAGAAATTGAAAAACAGTTCGTCGTACCGTTCGTTTCCTTAAACCTCGTGTATTGATGGTGAGCAGTCGTACCATAGGTGTCGGTGGAAGATAGTTCAGCTACAGTAACTATCCATTGTCTTTCCTTCTCCTCTGATCGTCCAAGCGACCATCGTCTTTGTGAAGTTTGTCCGGCTTTGTCTTATCAGGTGGAGTAAGAACGTTCTTTCTCTTTCTAGCTGACCTTGTTGACACAGGTTGGCGTCGTAGACCACGCTCCCCAGTGTTCTCGGTGCTGGTCGACGTTGGACGCGATGAGCGCGTTCGTCTCCTCTGATAGGACCCATCAGAGAGCCCTGCTTCCTCTTGTGGGGGTTTTGCTTTTGCCCCTCTTCCAGTGTTTTCGTCTTCGCTGTCTTCCACATCTATAGGGCTTTCTACAGCTTCAGCAGCCTCGTCCGGATCACAGGAAGCCCAGTCACCGCTGTGCTCGTCTCCGCTGTGGCAATCATTGCCTGTTTCACGGGTAGATCTAGTCGAGTAAGGGCGGGAGGAAGGGTTGGAAGCTTCCCTTGCAGCCTTAAGTCCAGCACTTACTGACTGATCAATATCTTTTCTGCTTTCACGAGATGGAATAGTTTTATCGGCTCTGCACCTACTTTTTCGTGTGTCCTTTCTTTCCGCAAATGTAGCAGGTGATGCGGTGAGGGCATTCGTGGAATGCATGGTCCACGGCTTTGCAGGATTTGCAATTGATAGATTGACCGTCATGGAACACAGTCACTTCTATATCAATTAAAGAATCAGTGTCTGTAGGATCAGGTATACTGTAAGTGGAGTAGCGCGGAAACGGGTTAATGATCTTAGAGACGTAGCAAAATCTATGCCCCGAATACAGATTCTGAAAGGGTGAGTCAACATTCCTGTTCTTCTTTTGATGCCTCTTAACCTCTGTTAGCCTTTCAGCCCGAGAGTCCACCCACTGAGCTACTTCTTCATCAGACACACTATGTGGGATTCCATGAATTGAAATTCTGGTTTCAGCTTTCCTTAATCCTGTCTTTTGAAAGTCCAGGATACCGAAAGACCCTGTGCCGACGACGACGCGACCGACACTGATCGCTTTTAGCTTTAGCATCCAGGCATGAAAAGTTGATTACCCAGGTGCGTTTTTGGCTAAGGTACTGCGCCCCTAATATTTCGTCGGGTTTTATGGCATCCGTCATCTCGTTTCGCACCGTATTGTATAAAGCTTCAACTACATCGAACTCAGAAAGTTTAGGCATACCGACTGCGTCAATTTTGATCCAAAGGTTGGTGTCTTGGAGCCTTGAAATGTCGTCACGTTCACGAGCCGCCATCTTTGCTGTATGCGTAGCTCGCCCTCCCACTGGTTGCGAAAAGAAGCCACAAAACTCTCACAGGGAAGAAAACGGGTAACTTCAAGGCAGCGACGACAGTCAGTGATCACTTATAAAACTTAGGAATCAAAATAACTGGAAAATGTGCGGTTTTCACCGCTAATGAGCCACCAGAACGCATATTCTGGCGAGCTCAAGAAAAAAGAACGTCAGGTGACCTCACCTGACCTTTCACCTTCAGGTGAGGTAGCAGACTTTGCAGGTGTGGAGGACAGCGACCGTTCAGCAGTTTGTACATGGTTACTGCAGTGTGAAACTTGCGTCGAAACTGGAGAGATGGTAGAGACAGTTCTGTGTAGAGACTATTGTAGGAAGGGTATGGGATCCCAAAGTGACCACTGGTAAACCTGGCTGTTTGGTACTGAACAGATTCTAAAGTCCTTTGGTCACGTAAGGTGAGGCCAGCCAAGACAATGTCCGCGTACTCTAACGTAGGTCTTGTAATGGTGATGTACAGCCGGAGCAGTAAGTTTTGGGGAATTTTCCTTCTTAGGGCACATAACAGTCCTGAAGAACGTCTTGCTTTTGTAGAGATGACCTCGATGTGTTGTGACCAGGACAGGGTATTCGTGAGAGTGACGCCTAAGTGTTTGTGGCTGGTGACAACTTGCAGTACAGTTCCTCCTAGGGTCACAGGGGGAATCGGTTGTGGTAGAGTACGAGTTGTAATGAACATGACTTTGCACTCGTCTATGTTGGCTTCTAGTTTCCATGTAGAAAGCCAGGTCGATACAGTACTCAACTCTCGGTTCAGTGTTGCAACTACGCGATGAACAGAATGATGGGAGAATGACAGAGATGTGTCGTCGGCAAATAAGTTGCCCAGACATTGTGTACGGCTGGTGGCAAAGTCATTGATGTAAAGGATGAAAAGCGTTGGTCCTAGGACGTAACCTTGCGGTACTCCGGCTAATAGGGACTTCCATGCAGACGTTGCACCCTGGATGACCACTCGTTGTTGTCTGTCCGAGAGGTAACTGGAGAACCAGTCATGCATAAGTCCACTGATTCCATATGCTTTTAGTTTGGACAGAAGTCCTGCGTGCCAAACCTTATCAAAGGCTTTCTGAAGGTCTAGAAATACACAGCCCACTATTTCTCCTTTATCCATTGCATCAGTCCACTCCTCTACCAGTCGAGTCAGCTGGAGGGTTGTATTGCCAAGTGGTCGAAACCCGCTTTGGTTGTCAGTTAATATCCGGTTGACATGATCCGTTAAACGTTTGTTAACAAGTGTCTCTAGAACTTTTGAGACTGTGCTGAGCAAGGATATGGGCCTGTAGTTGTTTGTGAGGTGGCTTTGTGAATGGGTGTTACGTTAGCCTTTTTCCATTCTCACGATGGTCAAATTTGGGCCCAAATATTCCAGCCTTTTTATCGAACAGAATCATGTTCGATATGACGTCATTCGAATCGAATCATGTTCGATATGACGTCAATCGAACCGAACGTTCGTTCGATCCGGGGTTACCCGCGGTCACGTACAGTAAACCCGCGGCTTCAAGCCCGGTTTTACATGGGTGCCGCCTAACAGTAAAAAAATCCACATTTTCACAAATATAAACCGATTTCGGGACAGTAAATCTATGCCCTGTTTTATAGTGGATATGTAACATGTAACGAAGCTACTGCCGTTATCGTGTGTGACCTTGACGATTGTTATTGTTGTTTACGGGGATATAAGTTACTCCCTGCACTTACTCACACGACCTGACATGCGTGCAATCGTGGTATTTAAACCGCAAGAAAAACAAATTCAATTTACCTCAAAAACGTTTTAAATTGTAGGTAAGATAAAAATCTCGATTTGTGTCGGACGGATTTTTTAAAGATGGCGGCGTTCTGGAATTATCGGTCTTGGAAGTTGAAAAAGTGCATTTTTGGCGAATTTTTTAACCTTACCAACACTTTAACTTTGAAATAAAGAAAACTGTCCGACTCAAATCTTAAGTTTGTTATACTGATCTCTAAAATGCAAAAATATGGAATTTTCTGAGAGATTTGGGGTCGGTTTAAATCACTTGTTTTGTTATTGACGTCGATTGTTCTAGAATAAGCATTCTACACGTGGAGGGTGATTTCACACACATTTAAGCATTGTAATAAAAAAAAAAACATTTGAGGTATATGCAGTGCGGATTTTATCACATTTGGACAAGAGAGTCCCCGTAAAACTGTTCATTATTGCTTAACAAAATATTTACCGTTAAGACTGGCTCCACGGAAGCCGCGCGTGGAACCCCGGTAACCTGATACCCTTCCTTAGAATTGGAAACTTTACCCTAGAAATTGACCGCCGTGTCTGTAGGAACTTGGCCAAGAAGGAGAGATTTGTTGTACAGACGAGTTAGAGAAACTGATATCGGGTCGGCAACTAGGTGTAATAGCCTCGGAGTGATCTTGTCGTGACCACCTGACTTTCCGACTTGCAG